GATGGTTTCATTCTGTACGGAGGATGTCCATCCATCCATCCATCCATTTTCTTCCGCTTATCCGGGGTCGGATCGCGGGGGTAGCAGCTTAAGTAGGGAGGCCCAGACTTCCCTCTCCCCAGCCACTTGGGCCAGCTCCTCCAGGGGAATCCCAAGGCGTTCCCAGGCCAGCTGAGAAACATAGTCCCTCCAGCGTGTCCTGGATCTTCCTCTGGGTCTCCTCCCAGTGGGACATGTCTGGAACGCCTCACCAGGGAGGCGTCCAGGAGGCATCCTAACCAGATGCCCGAGCCACCTCAACTGACTCCTCTCGACGTGGAGAAGCAGCGTCTCTACTCTGAGTCCCTCCCGGATGTTCGAGTTTCTCACCTTATCTCTAAGGGAGAGCCCAGACACCCTGCGGAGAAAACTCATTTCGGCCGCTTGTATCCGAGATCTCGTTCTTTTGGTCACAACCCAAAGTTCATGACCAAAGATGAGGGTAGGAACATAAATCTCTGAGGAAATTAAGAGCTTCGCCTTTTGACTCAGCTCTCTCTTCACCACGACAAACCTGTACAGCGCCCGCTACACTGCAGACACTGCACCTATCCGGAGAGGGCACTCTACCCTTTTCCGGCTCAAGACCATGGCCTCGGATTTGAAGGAACTGATCTTCATCCCAGCTGTGTCGCACTCAGCTGCGAACCGCTCCACCGAAAGCTGTAGATCACGATCTGATGAAACCAATAGGACCACATCATTTGCAAAAAGCAGAGACGCGATTCTAGGTCACCAAAATGGATCCCCTCAACATCTTGGCTGCGCCTAGAAATTCTGTCCATAACAAACACCATGTTCAGGCATAAGGGTGTCCATATGTGCTCTTGGCACCAGGACACCCTAGGTCGCATTTTGATGATCGATTTTGTCATCGTCTCATCTGATCTGCGGCCACATGTCTTGGACACTCGGGTGAAGAGAGGGGCGGAGCTGTCCACTGACCACTACCTGGTGGTGAGTTGGCTCCGATGGTGGGGGAGGATGCCGGTCAGACCTGGCAGGCCTAAACCTATTGTGAGGGTTTGCTGGGAACATCTGGCAGAGTCTCCTGTGAGATGGAGTTTTAACTCCCACCTCCAGGAGAACTTCAAACATGTTCCGGGGGAGGTAGGGGACATTGAGTCCGAGTGGGCCATGTTCTGTGCTTCTATTGTCGAGGCAGCTTACTGGAGCTGCGGCCGCAAGGTTGTCGGTGCCTGTCACGGTGGCATCCCTCGAACCCTTTGGTGGACACCGGCGGTGAAGGATGTTGTCAGGCTGAAGAAGGACTCCTATCAGGCCTTTGTGGCCTGTGGGACCCCAGAAGCAGCTGATGGGTACCGGCAGTCCAAGCGACATGCGACTCGGGTGGTTGCTGAGGCAAAAATTCGGGCATGGGAAGAGTTCAGAGAGGCCATGGAGAATGACTTCCGCACGGCTTCGAGGCGATTCTGGTCCACCGTCTGGCGTCTCAGGGGGGGAAAGCGGTACACCACCAACACTGTTTATAGTGGGGGTGGTGTGCTGCTGACCTCAACTCGTGATGTCGTGGGTCAGTGGGCGGAATACTTTGAAGACCTCCTCAATCCCACTGGCATGTCTTCCACTGAGGTAGCGGAGCCTGGGGACTCTGGGCCGGGCCCTCCAATCTCTGGTGCTGAGGTCACCGAGGTGGTTAAAATGCTCCTCGGTGGCAGGGCCCCAGGGGTGGATGAGATTCGCCCGGAGTTCCTTGAGGCTCTGGATGTTGTAGGGTTGTGTTGGCTTACGCGACTCTGCAATATTGCGTGGACATCGGAGGAAGTTCCCCTGGATTGGTAGACCGGGGTGGTGGTCCCCCTATTCAAAAAGGGGGACCGTAGAGTGTGTTCCAACTACAGGGGAATCACGCTTCTAAGCCTCTCTGGTAAGGTCTATTGGGGGTTCTGGAGAGGAGGGTCCATCAGATAGTTGAACCTCGGATTTAGGAGGAGCAGTGCGGTTTTCGTCCTGGTCATGGAACACTGGACCAGCTCTATACTCTCAGCAGGGTCCTGAATGGTGTGTGGGAGTTTGCCCAACTGGTCTACATGTGCTTTGTGGACTTGGAGAATGCGGTCGACCGCGTCCCTCGGGGAACCCTGTGGGGGGTATACTGGGAGTATGGGGTACCAGGCTCTTTGATAAGGGCTGTTAGGTCCCTGTATGACCGGTGTCAGAGCCTGGTCCACATTGCCAGCAGTAAGTAGGGCTTGGTCCTGGTGAGAGTTGGACTCCGCCAAGGTTGCCCTTTGTCACCGATTCTGTTCATACGGAGGATGTGTGTAAGGAAAAAAACAGCCTGACTGTTGAGAGGATTCTGCTCTTAGTGTGATGTTGGTGTTTTATTTCAAAACTTTAAACAACATTATCCCCCCTCACCCCAATAAGTCGTTTCTTTTGACGTCTAAGCTGTGTCTCCTGCGGCGGATTGAACCATGAACACACCAGCTGACGACCCCTGGCCCTCCTCTGGAAGCCAGGCTGTTGTGGCTGCAGGTGCGGTCCAGGAAGACACAGCTGCGGCCGTGGAATTTTTAATGTAAATTGTGTTTATGTAAGTTCTGCTATATCTACAGCTAATTGCAGTGATCAGCAGTGTCTAATCTATACCTAAACTTTTTTCAGGTCTCTCTTGTAAATGAGTCCTGGAGGCTCAATGGGATTAACCTGTCTAAATAAAGGTTGAAAGAAAACTTTAAAAGTACATTTTCAGAATTCATGTAAAGAGAGCAGATAATTACAATCCGGATTCCAAAAAAGTTGGGAACAAAACAAATTGCGAATAAAAACTGAATGCAATGATGTGGAGGTGCCAACATCTAATATTTTATTCAGAATAGAACACAAATCACAGATCAAAAGTTTAAACTGAGAGAATGTATCATTTTAAGGGAAAAATCTGTTGTTTCCAAATTTCATGGCGTCAACAAATCCCAAAAAAGTTGGGACAAGTCCATTTTTCCCACTGTGTGGCATCCCCCCTTCTTCTTCCAACACTCAACAGACATCTGGGGACAGAGGAGACCAGTTTCTCCAGTTTAGAAATAGGAATGCTCTCCCATTCATGTCTAATACAGGCCTCTAACTGTTCAATCGTCTTGGGCCTTCTTTGTGGCACCTTCCTCTTTATGATGCACCAAATGTTCTCTATAGGTGAAAGATCTGGACTGCAGGCTGGCCATTTCAGTACCCGGATCCTTCTCCTACGTAGCCATGATGTTGTGATTGCTGCAGAATGTGGTCTGGCATTATCGTGTTGAAAAATGCAGGGTCTTCCCTGAAAGAGATGACGTCTAGATGGGAGCATAGAGTTTCAGCTGGCAACGGCAGATTGTGTTCACTGACAATGCTTTCTGGAAGTATTCCTGAGCCCATTCTGTTATTACCTTGACAGTGGCATTCCTGTTTGAGGTGCAGTGATGTTTAAGGGCCCGGCGATCACGAGCATCCAGTAGTTTTACGGCCTTGACACTTACGCACAGCGATTGTTCCAGATTCTCTGAATCTTTTGATGATGTTATGCACGGTTGATGGTGATAACTTAAAAGTCTTTGCTATTTTACGCTGGGTAACACCATTCTGGTACTGCTGCACTATCTTTCTGTGCAACAATGGTGGAAATGGTGATCCTCTTACCATCTTGGCTTCTGAGAGACACTGACACTCTGAGAAGCTCTTTTTATACCCAATCATGTTGTCAATTGACCTAATTAGTGTTAATTGGTCTTTCAGCTGTTCGTTATATGCTCAATTTCCTTTTTCCAGCCACTTATTGCTACTTGTCAAAACTTTTTTGGGATTTGTTGACACTGTGAAATTTTGAATCAACATATTTTTCCTATAAAATGTTACATTTACTCAGATTAAACTTTTGATCTGTCATCTATGTTATATTACGAATAAAATATTGACATTTGCCATCTCCACATCATTGCATTCAGTTTTTATTCACAATTTGTTTAGTGTCCCAACTTTTTTGGAATCTGGTTTGTAATTATTACCAGAGGCAACAGCAGCTTGGACTATTTACTAAACTACAGCATGATTCATCCTGTACAGCATAGCAATTAATCAATCACTATTTATTTATAGCCCTTTCCACCATCCAAAAGGTTCACAAAGTACTTCACTATACAAAAAGCCAAAAACAAACAATTAAAATCAATGTAAAAATGCCAGCGAGCCATCAGGCCAGGACTCTGAGGTCTACACTCATCTCCAGGCCAGCGGTCACTCTTTCAAGGATGAAGATGTTCACATCCTGGACAGAGAGGAACGATGGTTTGAGAGAGGAGTAAAGGAGGCCATCTTTGTGAAAAGAAACCGTCCATCATTAAACAGGGGTGGAGCCTCCAGGTTCAACTGTCCCCCTCTTACAATGCTGTGATTGCTAGTATCACTCAGCCCTCTGTGAACAGTAAACAGCCATCAGGTGCTAATGATCCATTGTTAGGCTGATGGTCCTTCTTGAGCATGTGATCAGCTGGTTCTGGTTGTCAGCAACAAACTGGTTGATCCACTCTGAGAAGGTGCTATTTAAGAGACTGAGCTGAATACAGGTCCTCAGACTGAGGAAGTCCTCAGGATGAGACGAAACGTTTCTACATTTTTTTTTTGCTTAGTTTTTTTTGAATGTCCAGAGGACCAGATTGAACTTTTTTAGATCCAATAGAAGAAGAAGGTTGTACACTCCTGTAGGTGGCGGTATGCACCTGAACGTTGCTTGCAACCCGCCAATAAATAAAAGAAGTTCAAGAAGTCTTTCGGATGAAACGTTTCTACAATTTATACATTTTCTAACCCATTTAGAGGACCTGACTTAACTGCTTTTAGATGTTTCTACCTGGATTACTGCGCATGCATCAGGAGTAGAAGACGTGTTGTGTTCTGTTTCGTACCCTCTGTGGCGTGAACTCGGCGTACCGACGTTCTTTCGTTGACTTTTGCGTCCTGACGTCATCAAGCTGCTTTACGGCTGCCGGTTGCGTGAAGAAGAAGGTGAAAGCAGAAGTAGCATCAAGTGTTTCATAAAGACGGGCTCCTGCACTCAGGGATTTGGACCCCCAGCGGATCAAGACACCGACTCCAAGAAGTGTGAACGTAGTCGGTCAAAGGTAAGTTCAGTCCCGCTGCTTACCGCGCGTGAACATCGCGAGGGCGGGCAGCCATTAGCTGGTAGCTAACAGGAACAAACACGACGTGTGTCCAGGCTCAGCTTCCAGTACTTCCAGTACTTCCAGTACTCCGCTGGTCGTGCTGGTGTGAGGAAGACCCGAGGTGCGAACACATCGCTGGGTCTGTCACGCACTGAAGGCACGAGGCAGCGGAGAAACCTGTGAACTATAACCACAATAAGAGAAGTCAAGTAGCGTTCAAAGCAGAGCATTGTTCAATAATTCGTGATCAGTTGTGAAGAACACAAAGTGAAGTAACTCCAATAATACAATAAAAAAAACAAACATACTGCAGCTGGGCCACACGCGCAGGTCCGTGTGACGTCATCAAACCTTCAGGACCAGTCATGGTGAAGTAAAACTCGCTCGCAGCAGGAACAGGTTAAACTGGAGTATTTAAATCTGGAGCTTGTTGTTAAAACTCAGATGATTTTAAATCTGGAGCTTGTTGTTAAAACTCAGATGATTTTAAATCTGGAGCTTGTTGTTAAAACTCAGATGATGGATGCTGTACATCTTCTGGTGTCTGGTCGGATTCATGTACTCTGAAAATCACCTCCTACGGCCCATGATGCCTTGCGTGAACCGCGTCCGCTGTTTCCGGTCAGTGTTCTTTTGTAAACTCGTGTGAGCGGAAACACGAGCGGTTACTTGCACTCGTTGGTGGTTTAATCACGCGCTGCAATGAACGGGCTGGTCTGAGGTTCGTTGGTAGTTTTATTTTGAAACGGGCGGTTCTGGTCTACACTCGGCTCGGCGGCTGGCCGACATCATCCGAAGAGGTTCCGGAGCAGAGCGCGGCTGCTGCACCCGAGTCTCCGTCGAGCCGCCCCGGGTGGTGAGTGCGGCTGTCGGCCGGAACAAGGTCGCTTATAATTCTGTCGTTTCCGACTGGAAAATTACTGGAAGTACCGGTGAGAGCCCGACTCGGGAGGTCGGGCGGGTCAGCCGGCCACGGCTGAACCGGGACGTCTGTCCAGCTGTTCTTTTCTGTCCAGCTGTTCTTTTCTGTCCAGCTGTTCTGACCAGAAGTAAGGAGCAGCCGCGGGAGCGCGCACTTCACTCGATAATCCGCAGAGACCGACGGTCTGACCGGCTGTGCGCGCTCCTGGGGCGACTGGTCACTTTTGGTTAGGCCTCCGTTCTTGCCACAACACCGCAGCTTCTGAAGATGAGCACCATGTTAACTTCAACCCCAGTGAGGTCTTTCTGTTGGAGCTCTCTAAAGCTTAACGGAGCTCATGCACAAAGTCCACAACTGCAAATTCAGCTTTGAATCTGGAGTTATTGAAATATTCAAATTCAAAAACACTATTAATCCCAGAGGGAAATTAAGTGTTGTGGTATCTCATCGTCCTGGTTTCATTCAAGACTTGTTAGATGCTGAGCTGTGGGCAGGAAGGACTTCCTGCAGTGAAGCTGAAGAATCTGGCCACAGAAACCGATCGGTCCACCCAGATCTCTCGGTCCTCCTGGGCAGCAGGACTGCCTGAATGCAGGACAGAATTCCTCCCTGAGTTATGGGCGCTCCTTGTCCGCAGATCTCCTCACGAGCCGAGTTTCTCACCAGCTACAGGATCTCAGCGGTCCAGTACTCGAGCACCGCTGCCAGGTTCACGGGAATTTGTCCACGGCGCCTCCTTTTCAACTCATTGAAGATTTGGGGCTGTAGTTGAGATATTTCAGCTTGTGAGATGTTAATCAGCTGCTCCTGGTTGTTAAAAACAAACTACCTTGTTGCCATGGTTACGCATCATAGCAAATGTCCCAAAGAAAACAGGTTTCAGTAGAAATCCTTCCAGCTGCTCAGCATCTGATAGCAGAGGAAACAATCACGGTAAAAAAAAGTGATTCACATGCAGAAAAAAAGAGGAATTAAACTTTTATCATCATCATATTATTTAACATCTTACCTCCACATCAATCTGGTTTCAGGAAACAACACAGCACAACCACTGCTTCACTGAAGGTTCTTAATGACGTTGTTGAAGCACTGGATGTAGGGCTGGGCCATATATCGTTCACGATAATACCAGTAAAAAAGCTTGCCCGGGCAAATAAATGACATCATCATATGATAATTTCATGACGTAATACAGCAAAGTGCCCCGCCCCGTTAACAGAACCAAGCGCACCGAACGACCAAACCGAATTACGCACCCCCCACCCCCCACCTGTCGGTACTGGCGTTACGCTAATTAGTAGCACGCAATACTAACTAGCTAAAAACCTAAAAACAACATGCAGCTCAGCTTCTCTCCATCCAGCTCTGAGCTGCCGGTACAAACACGCGCAGGTCTGTCTCTTAGTTCCACAGTCCATGGAGCAGGAACAGAGTCAGGTGATCAGAGACAGAGTCAGGTGATCACAGACAGAGTCAGGTGATCACAGACAGAGTCA